CGACACATCCTTGTAGCAACTCACGTCCTCCTTGATCGCCCGCAAGATCTGGCCAACCTCGATCCCATCTTGGTAGTTTGGGTTCGTGCCCCGAGGGGCGCAGATTTGGATCCATGTCTGTTGCGATGCGAACCAGCACGGCACCTTCTCAGCAAACGAAACATTGTTTCCTGTAGTAATGAGCATCATCGCTGCACTTCGAAGGAAAACCCAAATGTCACCACTCTATGGTACAGGCTGTCGCACCTCGAATGCTTGAGCCAGTGTTGCTATGATCCGCCGCCTGGCGATCGTGCTTACTTGTTTGATGGCTGTTGCTTGCTGTTGGGTGTTTGTTAAGTTTTACATCCATGTACGACTGTTTGACACTTAGTTGTTGCACTGTCGTTTGATGTTCGGATATCGGTTTGTTCTTTTGTCGGTCACTGTATGCTGGCGGCAAAAACACTGATTGGGGTCCACTGGCGGCAAAGACACTGATTGGGGTCCACGCCAGCGAGCACTTGTAGTCATTGTTTAGTGCAAATGTTATTGCGCCCCGCTCTGTGTTGCATGTTGCTCCAATAACTCGCTGATTGGGGTCCACGCTGGCGCTCCCGGGGCTTGGTGATGGAATGACGTGCGATGATGATGCTGATGATAATCAGGTTCGAGTTTCACCCACGTTAACCCCGCCTCCCAACGGCAAAGAAAAGACTGAGTCAAACGAGGCACGACGCATGCAACATATACGACGATTGACACACAATCTAACAACTGCTGCAAGCGGGCATGCATTCTGGCAACCCTTAAAATTGGGCACACTGCGATCTCCGATGGCGCCCTGCTGCGCCTCGATGGTGTAGTCAGTGCTGCACGTCTCCGAGTTGGTCTTGCCTCGCCTCGATCTTGTAGTTCACAGTGAAGACCACATGGCGCGAGCCCTGCACGAAACCCTCACGGACGTTCTGCTGCCACACCTGTTTGAACATCTCCTTGACGGGCGGGGGCATGCTGGAGCGCGTAGCGTAGACGTGCGTGACCTGGATGGCGGCGCGCCTCTCGCGAGGCTCCCCGCGGATCAGCTTCGCCGCATGCGCGGCAGCGTCGTCGAGCTTGCGCTTCTTGTCATCGGCCACCGCCGCCGCCGCACGGCTGCCCTCGGACTCATCGCGGGTCAGACGCCGCTGCTCGGCGCCATCGACGACGATCGGGCCCGCCGGCTGCGCCGCCCGTTTCGGCGCGGCGGCCGCCGCAGCCGACGACGGAGGCTCCGGCGACGTCGGCGTGACCTCGCCCACGTCGTTCGGCGGCTGCGCCGTTGCCGCGGCCGCCGCCGCTGCCGAAGGTGGCGGCGACAAATGCTTGGCCTTCGCCGGCAGCGGCGCCGCTGCCACCGGCGCCATCGGAGCCTTGGCCTCGGCGGGCGACGGTGATTTCGTTGCCGACGGCGAGTGTGACGCCGCTGCCGGCGGCGCCTGCGGCGCACTGTCCTCGACGATCACCGTCTTGATCTGGCCGCCCAACTTGTTCAGGATAGGGGAGGGCGGCACAACATCGCGATGTTGCGCCATGGGCCGCGCCACAGCGCGGGGCGGCGGCTGCGACGTGGGAAGGCTGTCCTCATCAACTAGCGTATCAGCCTCGGCGCCAGCCGCGATGAAGGAAGCGTGGCTGTACTGCGGGATGATGCAATCACCATTGCGAAACGTAAGAGCGTCGCTGTCGGCAAAGCCAAGCTGGCTACCACCAATGCCGCCGAGGCCGTCCACGAGAGAGTCCGACATGCCGATGTCGATCTGAGACTCCTGCGTCATGTCGAGACGTGCGATGCCTTATAGTTTAAGGTGAGGAGATGCAGCTAGCCAAGTGCCAGCTCTGTCACGCCAGTGGCCAAATTCGTGCCAAAATGGGCTACGATGAGGGACATAGGAGGTGCGTAGTGGAGGAGGTGGTGACGGGAGTGGAGGATGCCCCGCGCGTCGACGGGCTCTGGGGGCGACGCCGAGCGACGATGTCGGGCTCAGCATGGCGGCCCCCGACCTCACGAGGCCTTAGACCCCCATCCCCCCGCTATACTCTCGAGGTTTCCCGACCTCCACTGGGGGGCATCTGAGATCGGAAGGGGTGAGGGCGGCCTGAGGCGTCTGACTGGCAGAAGCGAGTTGCTGGCCAGCAACTCGTTTCTGCCAGTCAGGGGCGCCCCCGACTGGCAGAAACGAGTTGCCGGGCCCCCTCGCGGCTGGCAGAAATGAGTTGCTGAGCAGATTTCGTGCCCCAGCAACTCGTTTCTGCCAGTCAGGGGCGCCCCCGACTGGCAGAAACGAGTTGCTGGCCAGCAATTCGCTTCTGCCAGTCGGAGCCTCTGCGTGGCATTCGGGGGCGCTCCCGACTGGCAGGCCCTCGGGGGCGCCCCCGACTGGCAGAAATCGGGGGCGCTCCCGACTGACAGGACATCGGGGGCGCCCCCGACTGGCAGAACTCGGGGGCACTCCCGACTGAAAGGGCTGACCTGGACTGGCCACTGGACTCGGACACCCCCCCGCCGGCAGGCGCAGACTGGAGGTGGAGGAGGAGGGGGGGGATGATAACAACGATGATGACTGATGACGAGGGCGTTTTTGTTTCCCAGCGCGCCCGGCGAGGGCTGAATCGTCGCGATGCACACCGATGCGCCTAACTAAGGACGCAACGATCTAGGTCCCCAGGGCGCGTTGTGTCTAAGGCGCCTCGGCGGCATCCATGGCAGACTTCAGGAGGCGCTGGACGACCGTCTTTGTAAACCCATTGCCGATCATGGCGCCGAGGGTGTGGTTGGACACATCTGAAAAGCCCATGAAAGCAATCTCATCGGTGGTGAAGCCCTGCAGCCGCATCATCTCTTTGCAACTCAAGCGCTTCGCCGTCTGCAGGTCCATGTACGAGAGGCCCTTGCACCTCGTCGCCGTGAGACACGGCGAGTAGCCGATTCCCATGTTGAGTTTGGAGCTGCCCATGTCGATGATGACGCCGTAGTCCGTCGCCTTCTTCCCCTCATCACGGGCCATGGCCTTGATGATCCCCAAAGCTTTAGAGATGTGTTCCTGGACCATGGGGCTGAACCTCTCTAGGGGGTAGTTGCTGTAATTCACGAAGGGTGGTCGTGGCTGGTCGTAGATGATGCCCAAGTCCAGGTGGTCAACATCTGACGGCCACTCGAATGTCACACTGCTCCGACCCATGCGCTTCACAGCCACGATGTAGAGGCGCTCCCTGCTCTGCGGCACGCACCCGACGTGCAGCGAGTTGAGGGTATTCATCTACACGTCGTAGCACTGCCCCCCAGTTGCACGGTCTATGATGGCCTTGATCTTCTTCACGATCGCGTTCAGTGTAGCCTCGTGCTTCTGAGCCATGCCTTTCACGTTCTCCAGCATGACCACGCGAGGCTGTTGCTTCCCGATGTACGCAGTGATGTACTTCCACAAGTTGCCGCGGGGATCGTTCGCGCCTCCATGGCGGCCAGCTAAGCTGAAAGGTTGGCAAGGGAATCCGCCCGTCAGGATATCCACGTAGGGGGCCTGGTCCACGAAGCCACGCGAAAGGTCGGTGTACTCCTGGCCTACTAGCACGTTTGCCCTCAGCCACGCCTGAGCAGACTCGTCGCACTCGCACCAGAACTCGAACTCGAAGTTGCGAGACCCGATCGCCTTCAATGCCCAGTGGTCTGTCCCCATGCCCGAGCAGACCGAGCCCACCTTGATGCAAGAAGGCAATGCGAAGCAACAGTGGGCCCCTGGATGGTAAGCGGATGGCTTTTGAACGAACTTGCTCGTGACCGGTTTCTTGAGCTTCTTAACCTCAGACTTCGACGGCTTAGCTCTAGCTTTAGGCGCGCCCTTGCCCCTAGTAGCCTTAGTGAACTTAGTCTTGCCCTGGGCAGCGCCGCGCGCCGTTGGACCCTTCAAGCCCATCACGGCCGAGCCCCAGTCCATGTCCATATCGCCGGCGGTGGTTTACCCGCCACGCGGCGACTTCCAGCCAAAGTATCCCGATACTTCAACTATTGAGCCAAAATGGCTGTGGAGGGGGAGGGGTGGAAGGACCCCCAAGGAGGACGGCGGCAGCCTGAGCAGGCCTTGCTCCCAAAGGATTGTTTTTTTTGGGGTCGCCGCGTTGGCCCTCGGCGGGGCCCCGCGTCGCCGCGGCTGGACGCAGCTCGGAAGACTGGTATTATATCACTCATGTGATTGCGGTGATCCTTGTAATCTTCCTCCTCCTCATCATCATCATTATCCTCCTCGCCCCCCCTCCCTCCCTCCCACCTCCTCATGCTCAGAAGGCCTGGACCTCCTCCTCCTCCTCGGCCCTTCCAGGTACGAGGAGGAGGAGGGGGGAGGAGGAGACAGACGCTCGGGGACGCGAAATATCGTCGTCGTCGTCGTCGTCGTCGTCGTCGTCGCACCGGCGGCGGGGCGGCGGCGGGGCTGCCGGCGCGCGGCCTGCGTAGTGAAGATGAGCCCGAAATAATCGTCGTCGTCGTCGTCGTCGTCGTCGTCGTCGTCGTCGTCGTCGTCATCCTCGTCGTCGTCATCCTCGTCGTCGTCGTCGTCGTCGTCGTCGTCGTCGTCATCCTCGTCGTCGTCGCCGTCGCCGCCGCCGCCTCTTCCGTCGTCGTCGCCGTCGCCGTTGCCCTCCCCCACCCCTCCTTCCATCGTCTGTTCTCCTTGATGTGATTCCTCGTTCCCCTCGGCACCCATCGGACTGGCGCTGTTTTTTGTTTTGTTTTGTTGTTTCAGGCGACATCAGCGGCCCCCTTGAAATCTCATCCAGCAGCAAACTGAAGTATCACTGATCCGCACGGCCCAGCAGAAACTCGCGGCGCAGTTCCCGACTCGTCGGGCACACCCTCGCAGTCTCAGATCAACCTCGCTGCATTCAGAATTGGGCACCGGCGCCAGGGGAGGCTGAGGAGGCTAGCAATGATCTCATAATGAGGAGGATGAGGAGGCGGAGGACAAGAGGAAGCAGCAGGGTTCAACTCAACCGTCCAGGCTCGCGAGCGTCGCAGCAAGGGCGCTCTGAAGAGTCGCGTCGCCCCCCGCCGCCTCCCCGCTGGCGGCCCCGGCGCCCTTGCGCGGCCGACCGCCCTTGGGGGCGGTCTCGGGATCAGCGGGGGGCTTCGGGCTTGGGGTCTCTGCGGCGGCGGCGGGTCCAGTGCTGCCAGGTCCACTTTTCTTCGCGATGATGTCAGCCAGGGCCTGGTCGAACAATGGGTGCCCTGGAGTGTGCGTCAGCCTCAGAATCGTGTTTTGTATGAATTTCTCGAGTGCCACCTGGGGCCCACACAGCAACTCAAATAGTGAGAGCGACGAGGACGAGGAGGGGGATAAGTCAAGGAGACGAGGGGGAAGTGGAAGATAATATGATGAGGAGAAGGAGAAGGAGGAGAAGGAGGAGGAGGAGGAGGAGGAGGAGCAGCAGGAGCTGGAGGAGGAGGATTTTGTGTGACCGCAACACCTTCTGGTCATCCGAGTAGCACACTCCGAAGTAGGGCACATCATCGATCAGCGAGTGGATCGCGAGCAGCCCGTTGCAACACGTAAGGTCGATGTTGACCACGCCGTTCACTCCACTGGTCACCTCCTTGTACACTTTGACATTCATGCCATGGTAGTTGAAAGGCACGGTATCCTTGCCCCGCGGCCCAGGGTCGGCCTTGGCGTCGTCGCCGGCAACTGCCCCTCCAGCCAATATCCACGCCGAGTTGTACAAGCCTGGCTTATCGCTGTGCTTCACCGTCCACGTGAGCGGATCGTTCCTCGGCGGCTTGTCGAAGTTGCCGATCACTGGGTCCTTGTTGGAGCCCTCGCTGAACACCTTCTTTTTCTCAGGGATGGGATCCCCCTTGCTGAACTGGAAAACAAACTCCATCGTGGGGAGCCCGTAGACACCAGAGTAGTTGCCCCTATGCTCCTTCAAGGACTTCTCGGTGGTCTGCAGGAACAGGATGCGCTTGTCCTTCTTGAGGGCCTTCCCATCTTTGTTCTGAAAGGGCTTGCCGAACTTGTGATCGTTACCGTGCACGCCACCGTCGAAGACGCAGTAGACCACGTTCGGGGGCATCTCGTCCTCCGGCTGATCGTCCTTAGTCAGGCCAGCCAGCGACCCTTTGATCATGCGATCGTAGTGCGCATCCCTGAAATGAACAATGCGGAGGTGCCCGCGCGCGTTCGGGTCTCCTGAAAGCTTGGCGTCGTAGAAGACGACGATGTTCGAGTCTTTGGCGACCTGCATGTCGAGCCCCTCCCACCACGTGGAAAGCGCCTCTGCCACGCCTGTTGGGGACTGCGGGTCCACGATGAGCTTCACAACCCTGGTGTACTTGTTTTTTCACGATAGTTGCCCAGGGCTTCAGCTGCTCCTGTAGGTCGGGGTCTGAGAGCTTGCCCTTGACGGGGTCTAGCTCATCGTCGTCGTCGGAGGTGAGGAGGTCCTGCATTGTGACATCGGCAGTGGCATCTGTCGGCACCGCGTCGCCCTCTGCCACGAGGGCAGTGTAGATGGCGTCGACCTTCTCCTTCAACGGGGACCTGTCGAGAATCTCCCCCACCGGCGAGCCCTGGATTTTCTGCTGCTTGATCTGCAAGTCGAAGTCAACTTTGAAAACGCAGTCCTCGAACAGAGCGATGGCCAACTTAGAGGACTGCTTCAACGCAGTGCGCCAGGACGCGTCCTTCTCGCCGGCCTTGTACCCGACCATACTGCGGTAGGCGTCATGCCCGCTGATCCACGTCTCCAACCTCTGAAGTGTCGATGCGTTGAGGCCCATGTCGTGCACCTTCTTGATGATGCAGTGCCCGAGCTCCTGCTTGGCAATCAGCAGGTCTAACAATCCCTTCCCTCCAGGGAGTCCTCGACCCGTCAGCTGGCGAAGGCTGATCTCGCCGGCCGTGGTCATCTTGGCCGTCACCAGGTCCAGCAGCCCAGCCGTGCACCAGTGGATCAGGTTGCCTGATTGAGCTCTCTTCACCACCGCCTCGTACTTATAGATGCTGTCGAACGGCGTAGTCCCGCTCGAGTCGGCCTCCACCACGATCTTCTGAGTCTGGACGTTGCTCATGAGCCTAGCCCCCACGGTAAAGCAGGCGTCAACGTACGTCTCCGAAATATTTTCTGAGTTCGGTGCGAGCTCGACCTTCTCGGCCCACATCTTCGCCGTCCTCTGCGCGCCCACTTCATGCCCGAGCGAGGTCTCGATCACGTCCTTGCTCTCCATGATGTCGAAGAACCTCTGCGTGGCCGTGCGCTTCCCGGCGTCGCCCATAGCCGTGATGCTCTCGCGGGACTTGTGAGCCGCCCAGTAGGAGTCCATTCCTGGAGACGACGACGACGACGACGACGACGACGACGGTGGCGGCGGCGGCGACGACAACGACGACGACGACGAAGAAGAGACTGGTGCCCCTCGACGACGACGACGACGACGACGACGACGACGACGACGACGACGATGGCGGTCCTGGCTCGACCACTGTGAACTTCACTGGGAAGGTGATCAACCCGCGCCTCAGCATGGCCACCTGCTCTGAAGTGGGGCTAGTGTCGAGTAGCTTGGCCGTGCCTAGGATGACGGCCCAAATCATCTCAGGAGGAGAGGCCGTGACTAAGTTGCCGAACATATCCGAAACGTCCTGAGTGGCGTCCGTGACGCTGACCGCGGCAGTGAATGTATCTGGAAAGGAGCCTCGGAAACCGTTCTGGAAGACTATGTCGACCAGGGAATTCAACTTATTCATGTTCGTGTGCGCCCTTTTCGCGGGGTTGCCGTTCAAGTCCAGCTGAAAGATGTTGAAGCCAACTGGGCCGTAGGCGTGAGTAGTCGTCAGGCACGCGGTGCACGTATCACCGTCAAAGGGCGCGACCGTGGACGTCTCCGCGGGGCCCCTCTGCTCGCGCGAAGGCAGTGGTAGCGGCATAGCTGTGCCGACATTGCCCATGTCTGGATGGCACGCGATCTTCTGCTTAGCTGCCGCGACGCGGCTCATCAAGGAGTTTTTCATGTGCTGTGTGACCCCGCGCGAGCTGCTCTCAGCCGCACCCGGGATCTGCTTGCCTGCGCCGCGCGAGGACTGCGGCGATCCCGATGAGGCCGAGCCGCCCTCATCCGCCGCCTCCCTGACGTCGCCAACCTGGAGGCTCCCGCCCAGCGTCGAGGCGACCATGTGAGCCGCCTGGCCTGCCTTGCCGAGCCTGGGGACCTTGCGCGGCCGCGGCTTGTCCTCGACTTCGGCCTTCACCTCAGGTTCGGCGGCGGCGTCCCCGTCGGGCGGCGGCTCAGCAAAGGGCGCCATGCCGTCGCCGCGAGACTGGCGGCCCCGACCGCCGCCGCCGCGGCCGCCGCGACCGGCGGCGGGCCTCCTGGCACTGGGGGCCATGGCGGTGAGAAAGCTGGCCTGACTGGCGGAACTCTGAGATCAGAAACACAACTCCCAACTAAGTTTTTAAACCAAAACGGCTAGAGCAGGAGGAGGAAGAGGAGGAGGAGAAGAGGGCTCCCAGACGTAGGATGCACCGCTCCCGGGCGACCCAGACAGTACTTGCACTTGAGGGGGCCAAGGATTGCACAATCAATACTGGCATCTGCCCAACGCTTTACCGCACCCCCGGGCAGCCCAAACAGCACTTGCACAATCAGTACTTGCACTTGCACCGCCTCCCTCCCAGACAGTACTTACACTCGCCCAAGCAGCACTTGCAATATAATGATGTTTAGGGTAGTGGTTGTCTTAGGTGTTGATAGTTGGCTGTCATATGTATTTATGGTTACTTGCTAAGCGAGGTGTTCATACTCTGGATTGTCTTAGTTGCTGCTGTTGCCAACTGTTGTTGCTGTTTACGTTCTTTGCTCTCCAAGCCAGTTGAGTTTCATTCAACGCCAGAGGAGGCCCTGGGAGTCCTGGATGGCCCGAAAAACTGCGCTCGCCGACCCAATTTGCGTCGTAAGGCGCGTGAGATGACCAGACGATTACACGTGATCTATATGACCTGAGTTGTTTCATGATGCATCGCAATGCGCATCATAAGTAAACTCACGAACGATGTGTTGCGCAAGCTGCGCATCGCCTCAGAATAAGGGCGCGCGAAAACATACATCCACACACCTCGTGCACACGCACAGCATCACAGTTGGAAGCGCGCGTGCTACGACAAAGTCAACATGCGGAGCCTGCGTGCTAGGGGTGTTGCCGCGGATGGGCGAAACCAGCACGCAAAGGCTGTTTTTAATTTTTCGGTCAGAATGAACGCCGATTCGGTCAACAGCATCGGGCAATCAGCGCGGCGGCAGTGCTTTCTTCCACATGCACGCTGCCCACAAGCCCTGATGGTTGATTGAATTGTAGGGCCGCTTCTCCACAACATGTGCCAAGTACTGCCTATACGTCCAGCCAGCCTCGCTGCTCTTCCAGTGCCTTACCTGAGGGGCATTAGTAGTTTCATCGGGCTCAGGGGGGTCCGAGAGCGTTCGTAAGCTAGCCGCCTCCCGGAACTTTTTTCACGTGCATCATTATGCCCAGGGACAACGCACAATCATATTCACCGAGAAACAATACCGTCTTGTTGCACCTGAAAGCGTGGACCACTGCACCCACAATGTCGATTTTATTCTCCGTAAACGCTGTCCCCAAGAAAACCGATGGGTCACATGAGAGGATTGCCGCCTGCTTCGCCTCACCGATAAGGAGTTCGTCGCCTTCTTCATCTTGCCAATTACATTGTTTGGGCTTCCACTCGAATGGCAAGTCATGCGTCAAACCCGTAATTGCCCATGATTTCGATTTCACAACTTCTCTATTGACTTCTCCAATGGTGTTCAAATCTGTCTCCCTGCATAACGTTAGGAATGCAACGTTTGGAAGCACCGCGCGAACTGCACCCCAAACCATGGCGGTGTACGGGCCAAGAGAATGATCAACGTGTTCGACTCTGAGAATTTGTTTATATTCTGTCGGACAACAAATATTGCTCATGATTACCAAGCCACCCATGTCGATGGAAGCCAAGTCCAAATCAGCCTCGCACAAAATAAATGCGTCCAAAATCTTGATTTGACAACCGATCCAAGTGAGGTTCAACATGTTGTGTTGCGCCTCCGGCCGTTTGGAGAAACTCACATCCGAAACTATACAGGCCATGGTGCTTATGCCTGGTGTACGTACAATGCTCTGACACAATAGAGCGGGGCCAAAACGGCTGTGGACGGATGTTGTTGCGTGTTTTTAGTTTTGTGTTTTCTCTTGCGGATGTTTGATATGTTTGTTGGTTGTTTGTTTATGTGCTGTTTGTGGTCATTATATATATATATATATATATATCCCTCTCCCTCTCTCTCTCTCTCTCTCTCTCTCTCTCTCTCTCTCTCTCCCTCTCTCTCACTCTCTCTCTCTCTGTAGATACCTCCGACTCCTCCTCCCCCGAACCGCCGCCCCACGGAGGGGCTCGGCAGCGCGCGCAGTGGCGCCCAAACTCGCACCACCCAGGCGCGCACGCGTCGGCGCACCCCTAGAAACAATGCAACTCGGGGAGCCGGCGGCGGGCCACTTTGGGCATTGTATGATCCTCCCCCGCCCCCTCCTTTAGCCTCTCTCTCTCTGTTATGTGTCTGTATATACATGTATGCATGTGTGTCTACATGTCGTTGTTGTTGTCATCACATGTTGTTGTTGTCATCACTTGTTGCTGTCATGTTGGGTGATATTGTGTTTGCTGGTGACGCGCACGCACGCTCGCAAGACAAACAACGACGTCAACAAATACATCGCATAAACACAACACATACAAGACAACATCAACACACACGCACACACACACACGCACAAGAAACAAACCCCTGAGTGACGAGAGTGCGGCGTCTGAGTAAATTGCGATGAAGTAGGCCCCAAGGAAGAGCGCGGCCGCGAACCTTACGTAAGTTGCAAACAAACCTCAAGCATGCGCGGATGTCTTGAATGAGTTGTGAGGACGTGTCGGGCAGGGGGGGGGTATTATTGGCCAGGGACCAGCGCCAAGGCGCGTCTGCCGACCATGATGATGTAGACGACGGTTGGGATGGTGTAGACGACAACAATGGGGATATTTTTTCTTCCATATGTTGACGACGATGTTTTGGACTACCATGGATGGTGATGATGACGATGCTGGAGACGATGGTGATGATACGGTGGTGATGGTGGTGGTGATGGTGATGGCTACGAAATGATTCTGATGATGGCGGGATGGTGATGCAATGCTGATGATGGTGGATATGATGATACATATTGATGGTGGCGACGATGATGACGATGATGACGGTGACGATGATGATGCTGATACTGGTGATGATGACGACGACGACGCCGATGATGATGATGATGATGATGATGATGATGATGATGACGCGCGTTTGTGCGCGTCTGCCAACCATGGTGATGTAGTCGACGATTTGGATGATGTAGACGACAACGATGGGGATGATTTGTTTTATATTGTTTGGACGATCCTGGATGGTAAGACGAAGATGGGTACGATTGTGATGATATGGTCGTGATGGTGGTGGTGACAGTGATGATGGCGATATGATCATGATCATGGTGGTGCTGGTGATGAAGATAATGAATGAATGTGATGACGATGCAATGATGATGACGATGGTGGGTATGATGAAGTTGACGATGACGACGATGGTGGCGATGATGGCGGTGACGATGATGATGATGCTGGTGATGATGACGACGGCGACTATGATGATGAGGGTGACGCGCGTGCGACCACCACTAAGGGTCGGGAGACACCCCCCCCTGCTATGGCCAGCCAAGAAAACCGGCCCCCCAACAACAACAACGCTCCGGCTCGAGACTTCCTCCTTTTTTACTCGGGCTCGGTGCTCTTGCTCGCCGCCGAGAGCGGCTCCCGGGCCGGACCCGGCGCCCGGGCGCCGGAAATCGAGTTCCGAGGCGGCGCCGAAAAAGGGCCATTCCAATACACATTTTTCTTTCGAGAATGCTGAATTTCTGCTTCCGGCGCCCGGGAGGGAGGCCGTCCGGGCCGATTCCGGAGCTCGGGCCGGCACCCGGCCCGGCACCCGGGCCGGACGCTCGGGTCGGCGCCCGAGCCGGCGCCCGGGCGCCAGAAAATCGAGTTCCGAGGCGGCGCCGAAAAAAGACCATTCCAATACACATTTTTCTTTCGAAAATGCTGAATTTCTGCTTCCGGCGCCCGGGAGGCCGTCCGGGCCGATTCCGGAGCTCGGGCCGGCACCCGGCCCGGCCGGCACCCGGCCCGGCTCCCGGGCCGGACGCCCGGGCAGTTCCGATCGCGCCGAAAAGAAGCCATTCCAATACACATTTTTCTTTCGAAAATGCTGAATTTCTGTTTGCGGCGCCCGGGAAGCCGTCCTGGGCCGATTCTGGAGCGGCTGTGGGCCAGACGCCCGAGCCGGCGCCCGTACGTGGTGATTCTCTGCTTCTGGCGCCTGCGCAGTTTCCCGAGCCGCTTCTGGAACCATATCTGGGCCGGTCCAGCGATAGGTTTCCTGGATGTGCTGAGCCATCCAACTTTTTGAGACTTCTGCGTCTCAAGGATAGGGCTGCATTCTTGGATCCCCTTCTGAGGCTCGATTCCTTGAATTCCATTTAAATGTCCAGGAAATGTCTGGGAGCGCTTTTTGAGCAGCCCTTGTTGAAAGCCTTAAAATGGATTTGTAAACCCTTTATCAAATGTCAGCATGATGGCCTGTCGGGAACCCCGATCGATGCCGAAGCGTAGCATTGTTTTGCCGCGGGTCGGCCCAGAGCGCTCAAGCGTATCGTAAAGCTTCGAGGCGTAGGGCTTAGGGCATCGGGCTTAGAGCAGAGAGCATGCGGCATCGGGCTTCGGGCTTCGGGCTTAAGGCTGAGGGCTTCGGCCTTATGGCTTAGGTCTAGGGTTAGGGCTGAGGGCTTAGGGCTGAGGGCTTATGGGTTTGGGCTTAAGGCTTAAGGGCTTAGGGCGTAGGGCTTGAGGCATCGGGCATGGGGCTTTAAGCTTAGGGCTCATGGCTTGGGTGGCCCGCGTTGGATCGTTTACGGGGAAGGTCGGTTTTCGGGGAGAGGGCGGGGAATGGGCGGCGGCGGGGGAGGACGAGATAAGCGAGCAGGAAGTCGGTGGCAGAAGCGGGGGATCATAATAAGGGTAACGCTGCGGAGACGGTGGGCCAGGAGGGAGAAACGGGACGGGGTTCGAAAAGCGCCCCGATACACTTTCTGTTAGGTGGGTTCTGAGGTCTCGGGGCTTACAGGTGGGGCGATGCCTCCCCCATTCAACTCCCCTTACTTGTCTTCCTGCGTTCCTCGTTCCTTCTCCCCTCAGCTTTCGCTCCCCCGCCCCCCGTTCCCCTCTTCGCGTTTCCATATTCGCATTT